TATGTTTAGTAATGTCAGTGTTTTGAGTGGTTGATCAACACAGTCTCCAGTAAAAAGAGGGGTTCTTTTTTCTAGGGTTCTTTGCGCGTGAGAGGGAGAGCGGAGTGTTGCACTGCTCCAGCTTCAGGGTGCNGTATGTTTAGTAATGTCAGTGTTTTGAGTGGTTGATCAACACAGTCTCCAATAAAAAGAGGGGTTCTTTCCTAGGGCTCTTTGCGTGTGAGAGAGAGAGAGCGGAGTGTGGCACTGCTCCAGCTTCAGGGTGGACTACAACAAACTAGTGCTGCTGGTGATTGTAGGAAGTAAGATATATAATTCTGTTATTTCAAGATGAGATTTCATGCAAGAGAGAAAGAGAGAGAGAGAGAGAGAGAGAAACATGTGTTCAAGTGGCCTAGTAGTTTCGGACTGTTTGGGTGTGAGTGTGTGGGTGTGTGTATGTGTTGCCTTAAGCACAAAATAGGGAAGGAAAGAGATAGATTGAAGAGGAGGGGGAAAAGAGATGAAAAAGTAAAAGTAAAAGAAAAGCAGAGTCTGCCTACTGTTGTCAGTGGTGTGGGTGTGTGGGTGTGGNATGTGTTGCCTTAAGCACAAAATAGGGAAGGAAAGAGATAGATTGAAGAGGAGGGGGAAAAGAGATGAAAAAGTAAAAGTAAAAGAAAAGCAGAGTCTGCCTACTGTTGTCAGTGGTGTGGGTGTGTGGGTGTGTTGCCTTAAGCACAAAATAGGGAAGGAAAGAGATAGATTGAAGAGGAGGGGGAAAAGAGATGAAAAAGTAAAAGTAAAAGAAAAGCAGAGTCTGCCTACTGTTGTCAGTGGTGTGGGTGTGTGGGTGTGGGTGTGAGAAATACAGTAGAGAGAACAGCAAGCTGAAGGTGGTGATTAAAGAAGAAAAAGAAGAAGTGGTAAGATATCTGATAGCATTAGGTAGTTGGTAGTAGGTAGGTAGTAAGATACATGCGAGAAGGTAAAAGAGAGGGGGTAAGGGACTAATCCCGCTAATAGTGCTGCTGTCCATCATCGTCATCGTCGTACTATTCGAATGGTCACGAATAAAAGTCGCAAGTTAAGTAAGTTGTTGTGGACGTGTTCTTTGCTGGGTCAAGGGGTTTGGATGGAACTGACGTAGATAGGAAATGTTTGTGGTGGCGGCGGTGGTCGTGGTCTTCGTGGTCGAGGAGGAGGAGGAGGAGGAGTTGACGATGGAAGTGGTAAAGAGGTGGTGAAGGTGGTGATTCCAGTCGCGCTGTACAGTCTGTGTCTCGATGTGTGTGTCATCCCCCACGCCCGCCAACTCCACCACCATCAACACACGAGCACACCGTGGCAATAATAACTTGATATAGCTTGTGGTGGCGGATTTCTGTCCCCCGACGAGTTTAAGCGAAGTACATGACTTTGGTTGTTTCCGCGTGCACGGTGACGGCTCGCGTCAGCGCCGTGACGGTGCGCTCGTCGCCGTTTGTGCCCGAGTGGTGACTTGAGCCTTCACCGCTGTAAGAAACGGAGAGAGAGAAAAGAGGTTAGAGTTTTCTTTGCAAAGAATGACAGTGCAAAAAAAGGAAGTGCACTCACGTAAAGAACTCCAGTTCGCCGGTGGAGAAGGCGGACGTGCTGGACTCGATGTCAGCCTGACTTAGTCTGCGGAAAGTGGAAAGAAAGTGGTTGTGAGATTTTGAGCTTTACAAAAGGACATTCTCCCTTTCTCGTCTTACCTATCATGATCCTTCTCCACGAGGTGGTACCGGGCGCGGAAGGCCACCAGGTGGGCGTAGTAGGCCGGCGCCGGGATGGACACCGAGCGAGTGCAGCGGACGTAGGTGTGGCAAAGTTGATAGGTCAGGCACTGAAGCTCATCTGCGGAAGAAGGAGAAGAAGTTAGAAATAGAACTCCAAAGCAATCCCTAAACACAAAAAGCACTCACCGGCCGTGAAGTCATTGTCGTCCCAGAGGACGTGGTAGTGCGAGGGCCGGCTGGTGCCCTGGATGCCGGCGTGCGAGCACAGGTAAAAGTCGAACTCGGTGGGGTGGGTGATGCCCACGTCGACGGTGGTGCCCGCCGGAATGTTGCCGCTCTTCCCGATCTGCTCCTTGTGGTTGGCGCAGAAGAGGCGCGTGTGGTGGCGCTTCTGCACCACGATGAAGGTGATGCCCGGGCGGTAGTCGTCCTCGAGGTTCATGCAGGCCTTGCGGATGGCGATCAGCTCGTGCGTTAATACTTGCTGGAACTGGCCCTCGGAGACGCCGTCGCGGTAGAAGATGATGCGGTAGGGCTTGAAGCGCGTGGAGCGGTAGAACTGTATCAGCAGCTCCTTGACCATGTTCGCCAGGTCGGCGATGATGTCCTGGCGGTGCTGCTGGACGCGCACCGTCGCCGCGTACCGACTGGGGTGGCCGTCCATCGAGCCGACCACCGCCGCAATCGAGGGCTTCTTGTTGTCGCCCGCCGGCGGGTGGGTGACATCTGCTCCGAGGAAGATCACCGGCTCGTTGAACACCTTTGGTCTGGAGTGGTTTCGAGGAAGGTTGATTTTGAAGTGATTTCGAAGTTTCGATTCAGGTGTTGTTTGGGTGGTTTTGGGCGAATTTTTGGAAGAATGGGTGGAAATAGAAATAGAAGCAAGTGTTTTAGAAATCAGAGTCATCAGAACGTCTAAAAACGCGCCAAATCTCTTTCTTCACTCTCCGCCATTTTATCACCACCACAACGAGCAAGTCATCACCCCATCATCACCCCATCACCCCACCACCACCACCACCAGCAAGTCTCACTCACCTGATACTGGGCACCAGGATGTTGTTAATACCGCCCAGCTTGACGTTGATCTTCAAGCAGAGATTGGACAGCGTCTGCGGCGACGTCTTGTTGACGTTCTTCGCCTGGACGCACTGCGTCGCCATGCCCAGCACCGTGTCGCCGACGCGCTTCACCTCGGCGTACACCGGCGTCTTCCCGGGAAGGACCACCACCACCAGCTGCAGCCCGGGGAAGGTCGACTTGAGGTAGCGGAACATCGGCTCCACCTGGTCCGGCCCGTTGGCGTACTTGCAGAAGCACGGCTGGCCGATGATGGGCATGCCCGCGTCGTTGGAGATCTTCTGCAGCTGCAGGGTGAAGTTGCGCAGCGAGTCCTCGCGACAGGTGCGCTGCGGCGCGAAGCAGGCAATCGCCCAGGTGCGAATCTCCACGCCGGTGTGGAACTGCTTGCCGCGCATGTCCCAGACGCCCTGGATCGGCATCGCCTGCTGCTTCGTCCGGCCGCCGTACTGAAGCTTGGGCGGCGGCAGCACCCTCCCCTTCACCTCCATCATGACGTGGCTGATGCTGAGGCCGAACTCCTTCACGTACGGGTCGGTGTTGAAGTCCGCCTTGTTCACCAGGTTGTTGATCTCCCGTTCGCGGTCCGGCGCGGAGCGAGCCGTCGCCTTGATCATCGTCGAGGTCTGCATGTCGGTCAGCTTCTTGATGCAGCGCTGGCCGGCGACGATGTTGCACACCTCCAGCGGGAGGTAGGTGTGCTTGTGCTCCTGGCCCACCTGAAGACAGGGAAAGTGCGGATATCTGCAAGAAGAAGAGGAAACATTGTTTGGGTAAGTGACCACTCTTTTCTTTTTTTTTACTATTTCTATTTCGCTATATTGCCACTTTGCTGCTTACCTGAGCTTCATCTTATACTTGTCGAGAAAGTACTTCGCCACGGTGCACTCCACCGTCTGCCCGTTCTCCAGCTGCAGCGGAAAGGACTGCAGCTGCGCCGGGCGGCGGGTGACATTGCAGACGCGGTACTTGCGGCGCATCGACCCGCAGTGCGTGATCTCAATCTTCAGGCCCTTGATCTCCTTGGTGAACTTGACGCGCTGCGAGTCGGTCAGCGGCTTGCGCTGCTCATTCACGTCGCGAATGTCCAGCACCTCGCACATGAAGTCCACCACTGGCTGCGCCTTGTAGAAGGCGGTGGCGCTGACGTCAATGTTCAGCGTCATCTTCCACTGCGACGGCCGGACCGACTGGTGGAAGCCGAACCAGACCTCGCGCCCTCCGCCCAGCGGGTGGTAGTAGCCCTCGGGGCTGCTGAAGAAGGACCGCCCCACCGGGGTGTAGGCCAT